GAAACCTATTTATTCTTCTCAAACCTTTTGGTTTTCTGATAAAATTCTGTACGGAAAACCCTTCAATAGATGAAGCCTCCAGTTCTCGAATTATCGAAGCCCACAAGGATTTGCCTGTTAAACTTATCAGGTTCACTCTACTGCTAAGTATAGGGTATTTTCCTATGTTTTACCGCGTCGAGTGGCAATTTTATTCCATACTACCCCGAAAATGTTTAAATGTCTTTTAGTCAGCAGTGGCCAGTGAGTACTCCAATCATTGATTCGAGTTCATTCCTATTTAAGCGAAGCAGCCACTTAGTTCGATGAACAGGATTTTGCGAGACCCGTTCTAGCTTCAGTTTCTTAGGAAGGCGAGTGGAGGTCACACGAAGGATTCGCTGGCTAGATTAAAACAGTCCTAAAGCGGATTCCTAATATGAAAAGGCCTTTTCTATTTTCCCACAGTGGAAGTTTGACATTTACTGTATTAGTAGATTATCCCAGAAGATGATCAGTTTGATTCTGGTGAAATGGCAGCACGTTGTTTGATAGGTTTACAACTACTAACTTTTCCAGGGTTCCAAAAAGTAGGATAAACTTATACGTCAAAAGAAACATTGACGATACTATTCTTAATAATAGAATCCATTGACACCCTCCTCCATTACTCTGGTAGATATAATGCAAAAGTGGCTCAGAGTAGTAGTCCTATACAGCGAAATGGAGTAATAAGTTCCTCTTAAAGCATGTAATGGTATACATGGCATACAAGGAAATATACCGTCTGAACCTGGGGCTTTATGCTTAACCTCCCCAAGAGCTCACCTTATAATCCTTCAAAAAAACATCGGGACCGAAGCAATCCAAGTAATTAAGTACTGCAATCACATTTAAGAAAAGTTATTAAATTCCCTTTTAATTTTTATCCTATGTAATTAATAGAGTGTATAAAAAAAAATACCGTTTTTCAACTAAATATTTGTATTATTATTTCTTTGCTATGAACTATAATTAATACTCAAAGTATAGTACATTGTCATCTACGGCCCTTAGCCATCTGCTAGTCAATTGCTCGATCCCACGCTGATACCAATCTTTGCGATGGCTGACAAAGAACTATTGGACCGCAATTTCAACTTCCGCAAAATTATCAAATTTTTTCCCTTCAAGAAAATGGACCATGGATCTAAATAAGCAGTAATCCGATGGTGTAAGATCTGGACTATATAGTGAATGAGGCAGGAATTCGAACCCATGAAGTTCTTTGACGGGAGGTTCGAGGACGAGCATTACCTTGTCGGAATAAATTTCCTTTTCGATTGATCAAAGAAGGATAACGCACTTACAACTTCGCGTACAATCTTTCCAGGTATTCTCAGTAGAGTTCAGAATTCATATACCATCCATCAGGAACAAATTAGTGATGAATAACAATTTAAAAATTCCCAAAAACGCAAAGCATGGATTTTTTTTCAAATTGTCCCCTTCCAACAACCGAAAAAGCTCACGGGTGTTGGGAGAAGTAAACCCACTATTTATTAAAAGTGACAATCTTCCTGTAAAATGTCATATCAGATTGGTTTTTCAATAAATGTTCACTGATTTCTAACGTCTTAGTTGAATGCTGAGGAGTAAGTTCATGAGTGACCAGTCTACTGCTCTTTTTCAACTTTCCCATAGAGAGTAGATGGCGGCTAACAGTATCTTTCGACATACCACTCTCTCTGGCAAGCTTGCGAGTACTTGTGGACGGATTTGATTCCTTCCTGCAGAAGCTCATCAATACCCATTAATGCTCTTCCGAAGAGCATTAATTCCCATTCTTCCTTTCCAACGTCGTATCATCGTTGCTAAATTTTCAAATCTAAGCCGCGCAGTGCGTTGGTTAAGGACACCTTCCTCTTTATATTAATTAATTTCACGAGTTGCTTCAGTGGCTGTGAATATTTATTTTCCCAGTAGTGCCTTAGGGATTATTTAGTATTGGTAAGTATTAAATAGGATTAAAATATTTACAGTCCTTTGAAATCTTGAATTTGATAAAACGGTCATTTTTTTTTAATACTTTTTTTTTATTTTGATGTCCCTAAAGGAAGTACATAAGAATTAAACGCTTCAACCATTACTCACAAAATTTACATATCTACCAAAAAAAAACATTTAAAAAAATTATCATATGAAGTGTTTCCTGAAACGATATCCTTAGATGATGACATATGAAATTATAACTTCCAGTGAAACATAACTTTTGTAAATCCAAATAAAGCTGAAGCAAGTTATAACTTCTTTTTTTACGGTGGTACACCAAGTTTAAAAATATATACTTTGATGATTTTTTAACACTAAACTGAAATATTATCTTAAAAAAAAATAAATCTTTTTCGTAATTCAAAATATTACAGATTTTATAGTTATCAAATGATGTATTGGAAGTTTACTTAACTCTGCAATATTTTTATCTCGTAAGTTGGAAGAGTGATTTTTTTATACTTTCCCTCATTAAAAAAATTATCAACATAAAAATATTTATATTTTAACATTGAGCAGACAATGGACCAGTCTTTGGCTTCAAAGCAGAAAGAAGCATGATTAGTAATATGATGCCAAGTATTTCTTTTTTTCTAAGATATTATTTTGTAATCTATTTATTTTTATCTATTATATATATTAATCTATTTCTATATTAAATGTTAATTTGTTTCTTATTTTTGTGCTCAATCTTTTGGAATACAATCCATAATATATTCTGAAATGGGAAAGACATAATAATAGAAAATTTTAACCAAATATTGTAGAGTTTACTCATTTACCAAACCTTATAAAGATTAACTATATTCCACCATACCATTTTTTTCTCGAATTTTTTTATGTTTTGATTACTCTTAACTAATCATTATACACTCGAAGTTTCATTGCAAACGTTCAGTAGTTTAAGAGAACGAGATATACCTATATATTGGCGAAGATTGGCATGGAGTGTATAGGATCAAGCCGAAAGTTGGACATCGGCTCGGGATAGAGTAGGCAGCTGCAGAGCTGATAAAAGAGGAATATAATCGATATTAGGGAGGTGAGAGGACAAAAGACCTTCCGTATCACTATCGACCACTTTCCTAGCATCCAACAATCGGTTCGTTACCCCACTTCCATTCTTCGGCGGCCGACTTCCCCGAGACATACCATCCTCCAAGAAGTGGAAGCCCGGAGACACGTGGACCACCAGACAAAGTCCTGGACCCTCGGGAGCCAAGATGTCGAACCCCACCCCCTTCCACTGTTGCTGATATTGATCCGGCAGTAGTGGTCAGTCTGGGTGACGTCATCACATCGATCTGGCTGACCAACATCCCTTGCCTCTAACAACCACATCCCCCGCGGCTAATTCTTCTCATCATCCAAAATTATATTTCGAATGACACGATCGACGATGAGTCGATTAAATACCTCTTAAAAATGTTACAGATACAACCTCTTTGTAAGGGGTCTGTGTTGGAATGAGTCATTCAAATTTAAAAAATAGGAAGGTTGCATCATCAACTGTCATTTTCGATTCATCTAACTTATAAAACTCGGTCGTCCAATCCCTACTCACGATCAAAATTAAATCAATAATATTTGTTTTGTAATTTTTAATGATTTGTTTATCCAAGTTAATTATTTATCGAGTAAAAATGTTGAAAACTTATAATCATTTTTCTATTTAATATCACGCTAAAAACCCCAGACAATGCTTGATTAATTAAAACGGTTGATTGGATGTGAGTCAAATAATATAACTATTACTTTTTTAATAATTATTCCAGCGATCAACGATAAACTGTAGCACGAAAATCATGCTTTTATCCAAGATGGTTCCCATAGCACTAAATCCTTAAAGACTGTTTTCATCCAGCAAAAATAGTCTTAAGTTAAATAAGTCTTCACTTACAGTAGCGCTATGATCACAACTCGGAATATAAACTAAATTATAATTTAAATAAATATTATATTACATATAACATACATTGGGTATGATCTTTATAATAATTAACACTAAGTTTTAAACATTTTTTTTAATTTTATATAAAATTAAAAGTAATTACTATTTATTACCTGTACATACAACGGGCAAGGATTTATAAATTAATAACAGTAAATAAAAAAGTATGTTTTTTAGGCATGATGTTATATAGTTATATTATAATTTACTTTTTCGAATTTAAAACAGTTAGATAAGCTTATAAAGTATAAAAATAAGTGTAACAAACTAAAGTCTGAGGTATATAAAAATGGCTATAAATTCAAGGACTATACTTTTTAAATTAATTATTTTATTAATTTACTATAACTGGATTCTAAATTAATTATATTTTTTAACCGATTGCTGAAGAAAAAGACTATTATTTGTGAAAATTAACTTCATAAAGAATTCATTTGACCCCTTTTCATTGAATAATACCCTCTATGAGAGAACTATTTGGATAACATTTGAAACTCCTAAACATATCATTTAATATTATATTATAAAATATAGTCTTTGGCATTAAACTCTCAAGGAAATAATATATTAGATACATGTTTGTCTATTTAATATTGCATGATAACCTAACGAATACTGTTTACTAATTCATGACAACATTCGATTTGTTTAGAAAATTAAATGCTTAAAAAGTGTTGGTTTTTAGTCAAATATAATTAATAAAACTGTTTTATCTACAATATGAATTCGATGAAAAAGCACTGAGCTGAGAACAGTACTGTTCATCAAACCATTTCAATGCGATAAATTATCACAACGAAAACACACCTTGAAATACATAAATAACACTTTATATTGTTAGTTAATAAGCTAAAAAAAAAAACCAACTGTTAAACAAAACTAAGCCCTTCTCCATCTACTGATACCTTATACTACAGAAAGCACTTACCGTCAGTTTTTAATTATTATACTAAATTCAAATTGTGATTTTGTGTGCTGATAGAGTGATTTTGCTTTTATGTGCTGTTATAAAAGTGGTTTTGGCCTGGTTTCGACTTACGGAGTGCCTTCACTGAGTGGTGTAGCTCTGACCAGAGAGGCCCGTGGCCAACTCGCCTGTGGGACAGGTGCTGTTCTGAGCAGGTGGCCTCACTGCTTACTTTAACAGTACTACCAACACAGTCATCCTATTTAATTGTCTGTTTTGTTTTCTTTTTTTTTAATATAAAATCTAATTTACCAACAAAAGCCTGTATAGTCATATAAATATAATTAACATAACAATTTTATGCGGAAGCTTGATATATGTTTATAATTATTAAAGAATTTTAATTTTGTTGAATCTGAAGCGATAACTATAACAATATTTAATTTAAGTAAATAAAAATTGCTTCACAGTAAACGAGATAAAGTTTTCTTTAAATTAAATTAGATTCTGACATTGTTATAACAATTTAAATACGAATTCTGGACAGTTTATCCGCTCAATTAAGTTCTGTTTCTTTATTATTATTATTTAGCTTCTGTTTATTATACATATTCTCAGTATATACATGGTCACCATACTAGGGTCACCCGTAATTAGAGGGACATTTTTATAGGAGTGATAGCTAACCTCAACAGCTAATAAAAGGTTCGTATAAACAATGGGCCTATTTTCAGCAGAAAATTAAGAAATTCAGGTTTTGTGTTTTTTAAGTAACTCATGTTTTTTTGTTAAAAAGGAAACGATAACTAAAGAAATATTTTTTTAAGTAATTAATTATTACTTATATCAAATGTAAATATAGTTGGTCATTATTAAAACCATTTAAAAAGAATTTCTGGGTGGCTGAAGTTCTGTTGTTTAAAAAAATCAGAAATTACTAGCGATTTTTTTTGTCATTATCCGTCTATACTAAAGATACTTCACTTTTAGGAAAACTTTCTCGTTTAATAACTTTCAAGTCTATATTAATTAATTTGAGGTTTTTTAGACAAAAATTTGAGATTCAGCTCAAGTTCTGTAAAGAAATGATGTCATTTTCCAACCAGTCATTTAAAAGTATCCGTTTTTTTCAGCAAAAATGGCAAAATTAACTGTTGCAACGCTTTTTTTTTTTTTTATGTTCTGAGATGTATTGTAATAAAAATAGCTCAAATACACATTTTATTTATAAAAATAAAAAATTTAAAAATGATGATTTTTCTAATATTTTTCATGTAAAGTGGTTATGAAATTTTGTTTTCCTCCCAGATCTCTGTCAAAGAGTTACGAAATGGATTTAATCCGTAACAAATAATATTATTAATATTAATTTAACTTTTATTTTAATAACTGAGTTTTTTAAATATGCCAATTAGTGAATCATGTATTGTATTGACAATTCTCAGAACTCAAAGAATAAAAGGACAAAGCTATCAGGCCGATAATGGTTAATAATAAACTATAGTGATTGATGGTACATAAATCTTAACTAATATTACAATACCAAATATATCAAATGAAATATGTAAAAAGTTATACAAACTAAAAATAATGTATATAATTAAAATTTACTAAAAAAAAAAAAAAAAAGAATTAGCCCTGATGATGACCCACATATTGAGGTTGAAACGTCGGCACTAATAAAAACTTTATAATGACAAAGTCTTGAATATTTATCACCCATGATTTAAAACCTTTAGTTGAAATTTTCCATGGAAAAGTGTTCTAGTTCCGAAGCAACACAGAAACGTTCAAAAACACAAGTTCCATTCGTATCGAAACTTACTAAAAATTAAAGTTAAATTTTTATTTCAAACCCAGGTAAATACTAGTGTTTCCGTAACATGAATAGATGATTCTCTCGAAAGTGAGCATTTTGAAGATTTGAATTTCATTACATATACTTGATGTCACTTTTTTTTCTTCTTGGCATGTTCTGGTGAACATGCCAAATGTTGGTACATTTGGCTACTAAATTTCATTTAAAGAAGTTTTTGTTTTTATTTTATTTATCAAAGAATAAATTAATGGCCCTAAGTAATGAGAAATGTCAATATTTTCTAAGAAAAAGGGAGGTTGATAAGCAAATTGGCTTGGTCTAGGTCCTTCAAATCAGAGGAACATTTCGTTTACACTTTTTGTATACACTTAATATAAATGTTTGTTAAATAAATTTTGTATTTCAATTTCGATCCTCTGGTTGTAAACAGTGTACTATCTCCCACCAAACATTCTCCCTCCTCCTCCACTCCCCATTCAAAATGTTAAATTCAATAAATGTTTATTTAACTTACTTTAATCAAACAGGTTATTGACCGTCTTCCGGCGTTCTTCTTGGTTCTGGTCCTCTTCTTCGTGCTCCAATGTTGAAGTGGGCTGGACCCACTGCCTCCTTCCAGCCATAAATAAATTTCTTTAACCGTGGGAAGTTCTCCATACTTACCAACTGAGGAAGTTCATACTCTGCTATGAAGTAAATTGCCGCGGTTCTCATCATTGTTGGCCTTATTCTTTCGATTTTAGTGACCACGTCTCCAGAACTCCACAAGTGGGACATTGGGGATCTATTTCCTGACAAAAGCTATTTTTTATTTTATAAGTTATAAATAAAATATTTTATAATGGAGTAGATTTATTTATGTACTACCCTCCCTTCTCTAGAGGGCTATATGGGAATTAGCAGTATGACTGCATAAAAACTCACTTCTGCAAGTGAAACAGTGAACAAGTTTCTATCTTTTGTGACTTCTGATCAAGAGAGGCCGTCTTCCGGCGGTCTTCTTGGTGCTGGTCATCATCTTCTCCGTGCTCCAATGTTGAAGTGGGCTGGACCTACTGTCCCGTGAGAAATAGTGAAACCCAATAGACCGGGAGGACCCATTGTGCATCTAGCCGCGATTGTACTTTGGGAAAATATTTCCTAAGAGTACTCCCTTTCGGAGTTGCCACCCACCGACGGTTCGATTCCTCAATTGTATCCTTCCAGGTTATCTTCTTCCGTTTGTTAGGACTTTCCACAATCCTCACCCGTAGATTTTCTGGAACTCCTTCCAAGCCTTCTTTCTTCAGCTTTTGTCGAATCACATCTTCTCGCAGGAGATCGAGAGGTACCGCCCCCGGTAGGACCTGCACTGGTTCATGTGGCATTGTCCTAAATGCTCTGATGAAACGCAACAGGGCCATCTTCTGGATCGACGCCAACCTTTTTCACTGCCGCTGTGTGAGGTTCCAGTACCAGGAGGGGGATAAATACTTCAAGATACCCATTACAACGCCTTTATAGATCGTCATTGTTGCTAGGTATCTGAGGCCACAGAATGCACCCCCGACACGCCTGAGTCCGTTCAAGGCTTGGGTCGCCTTAGTTGCTAGATAATCCAAGTGAGATAATTAGGGATTTTCCTAACCTTACACCAAGATAGGTTACCACCTCACCTGGGCGTATTATTTGACCCTCTATATCCATGCTGAGGGAGTGTGCTCTATGCCCTTCAAGAGGATGGCTTGCGTATTTCTAGCAGCTATCATCATCTTCTTTCCCTCACACCATCTTGCTACAATTTTTGCTTAATTGCTACAATTAAGTAAATACCTTGGCGCATTGCTCTGCCGCTACTTTGATCTCCGCCCTGCTGTTGGATGCCACCTCAGCTGCTAGGTCGTCAACATAGGCAGTGGCAGGGAACCGCTCATTTTCAAGCACTCCCAGCAACTTAACAAAAACCAGCTTCCATAGAGCAGGACGAAATCCCTGAGGGCATTCCCTCTCTACGGAAGCTTCAACCTAGTAATAGCTGCCTTTGATCTTTACTCCTCCTGAAGATAGCTCATTACGAAGGCATACAGATTGCTGGGAGTATCATATTTTTGCATCTGCTGGAGTAAGCAGGGCCACCTTAAACTATCAAAGGCGGAGGATATAATAAAAAGGAGCAACAAGACGTATCATAATGGAGTAGATATCTTTAATGGTAGAAGCAACTAGATTTTAGTTGACGCTTCCGCCTTTGAGATTATAGGCAATTGACTTATTTCCTCCCTCCCCTTCTCCCAATCTCGCCTTTTCGACTATACGTGGTTTTTCCAGGACCTGGAGAGAGGCCAGGAGATTAATGAATGAGTCAAAAGCCTTCGGCACCGGAACTCAAACTTTCAATCTTCAATTTATAAGGTTACCAAGCAACATTATGCACACGCTTTAGCCCGCTTGGCCACCCACCCACATTTTAGATATGTAATTGACTGTATTTGGTACAGTAGTTCAGTTTTGCTGCTCATCAGTGACAAATCCTTGTACCCATGTGTCTTGAAAAGTTTTACAAGTGTTATATATTTAATTTTATTGTTTTTCGTCTTCAAGATGTTTTTGAATTCAACCCAAACTAGATCACTGGGACAGAATACCTAAGAAGGTAAGCAATAGTACTCACATCAATTCTATTGTTTTTTATTGGGAATTCAATAAAGTTCTCCAACTCACTCATAAGTGTACCTACCAAATGTCTGAATAACTTTATAATTTAAAAATAATATCAAATATTATGAAAAAAAAATACATATTTATCATAAATATACTTTATGCTTTAGAATTTCCACATCGCATTTATTTACAAATAAATTATTGAAATCCACCAAGGTGCTTTTTACATAATCGGTTAGTATTTCTTGATTCAGAGTATCATTTTTATTTTCAAGACAAAACATTTTTATTTATCTTCTTTATTTATTTAGCAGATTATGAAAATAGATTATAAGCAGAAAATGGAATTAATGAGTCCCAAAGACCGCTTCAATTGTTCTATGACTATTAAGGAGTTTTGTGAATAATATTACTAACAAAGCATTCTAAACAGAACATACCCCTCCCCATCCCTTTCTACAACTAAATAAAATAAATTAAAAATTTTAAAGTAATTAAATATGTATAAGTACAAGTTGTCATAAAAATGACAATAAAATGACATGAAATAGTACTTGCATGGCACCTATTGTTTTTATTGGCAATTCAATGAAATTCTCCAACTCACTCATAAGTGTACCTACCCTACCAAATGTCTGAATAACTTTATAATTTAATAATAGCAAATATTATGAAAAAAAAAATATTTTATCTGAATTTTGTCTGAGTAAAATTATTTTAGTTGTTGGCA